GTGTGTGTTGTTATAGCTCGGTACAGTTAGAGGTACAGGTAAGAGGTACAGGTACAGGTGTGTGTTGTTATAGCTCGGTACAGTTAGAGGTACAGGTAAGAAGTACAGGTACAGGTGTGTGTTGTTATAGCTCGTGTCATTCTTAAACACTCATCAACATTCCTCTAAGTATCGATTTTGTTCTTTATCCTTCCCTTCACCACCTTCTGCCCCTCTCCTCCCTTCCCTTCCCTTCCCTTCCCTCCCCTTCCCTTCCACGTAGTGCACCCTCTCCCCCCCCTTCTCAATTACAGTACTTGGTTCTTATCTTCATTTTAATTATCCCTTCCTCCTCCTCCTCAAATTACTCTCCTTACTTATTTTCCTCCTTCTCCTCTTCTTTTTCATCCTCCTCTTCCTTCTCCTCAGCTTATTTCTCATCCTCCTCTTTCTCTTCCTCCTGTTTTTTCTTCCTCCTCCTCTTCCTTCTCTCCCTACTTCCTTTCCTCCTCTTCCTCATTCCCCATCCCCCTGTTGCCTTCCTCCTCCTCCTCCTCCTCCTCCTCCTCCTCCTGTTTCTTCTTCCTCCTCCTGTTTCTTCTTCCTTCTCTCCCCTACTTCCCTTTCCTCCTCTTCCTCATCCCCCACCTCCCTTGTCTCCTTCCTCCTCCTCCTCCTCTTCCTGCTCCTCCCTGAAGGTGCTGGGTCAGAATATGCGTTAAATATTTAGCAGGATCTAGCCTTTCGATTAGTCTCCCTAGTGCTGATTATAAAGGGGTATATTGGGCAAGTACCTCACCCACCATACTTCCTCACCCCTCATTCCACCTCTCCGCCTCTCCTCCCCTCCTCACCCCCACTCCTCACCCCTCTTACCCCCACTCACCCCTCCTCACCCCTCATTCTCCCATCACCCCTCCTCACCTCCTCACCCTACACCTCCTCCCTTTCTTTCTTTCCACCACACCCACCTCTCACTTTCCACCACACTCACTCACCCCTCACCCACCCCTCTCCCCCTCACCCCCCCCTCCTCACCCCTCATTCACCCCTCCTCCCTGCTGCCCCTCCCCCTCTCCACACCCCTCCACTCACCCCCCTCCCTCACCCTCATTTCCCCCTCATTCCCCTCTCACTCACTCCTCACTCACCCCTCACTCACCCCCACTCACTCACCCATCATTCACCTCTCACTCACCGGATTGACTCGTGTGTGTGTGTGTGTGTGTTGACGTCCCCAGATACTGAACGCTGTAACTGTTCTTAATAAAGCCTTAGTGAAGATTACGCCAGGCTTCATCTTTCCTTCTCCTGTTACTGCTAAGGTTAGGTTAGGTTAGGTTAGATTAGGTTACGGTAGGTTATGTTAGGTTAACGTTAGGTTAAGTTAGCGTTAAGGTGATTTATCTTGAGGTGAAATAAGGTGGGGGTTAATCTTCAGGTGATCCGCTGAGGTAAAAAGAGCTGTAGTTTGTGAGGTTGTCGTGACAAGGTGAGGTGTAAGTCTTGGCTTATGACGACACCCACACCTGGGTATGAGTCCCCCCCTGCCTCCCCCACGTCCTCTTAAGGTACTGTTAGGTGTTTCAGGTGTTTCAAAGATGTTTTAAGGTGTTCCAAGGTGTTTTAAGTTGCTCCTTGGTGTTCTTATGTGTTCCAAGGTAATCCAAGGTGTTTCAATGTGTTCTCATGTGTTTTAAGTTGTTCTCAGGTGTTTATAGAGTGTTCCAAGGTGTTCTCATGTCCTCCCAGATGTTCATGTCTGGCACCATAGTCACCCTCCTCCCCCCACCCTCCGTCTGGCCTCACCCGTCTGCACGCACAACACTGGACTCACCTGTTTCTTGTGAGTCTCCTCGTGGGCTGTGAGGAAGGGGGGGAGGTGAGGGGAGGGGAGGAGGAGGAGGACGAAGGGAGGAGTGGGGGAAAATGAGGGGAGAAAGGGAGGAAGAGGGGAGGGATGGGAGGGGGAGGAGGAGGGAGGTGAGGGAAGTGTGGAGTGGGAGGAGGGAAGCAAGAGGCAGTGGGTAAGGGAAAGAAGAGGAGGGAGATATAGAAGATATATATCAAGAATGGGGAGGTATGGAGGAGGGAAAGAGGGAGGGAAATTATGGAGGGATAATGGGAGGGAGGGAGGGTATGGAGGGAAGAAGGGAGGGAGGGAGGGAAGGCGTTATGACTCAGCCTCGTCTTGTGTGTGCGTGTGTGTGTGTGTGTTGGTAAATAATCACACAGCTTTACAATGTCTGGCGTGATTTACATAGTCTAGTGTGGTCGTAACGGGGACCTCTGACTTGCATAAACACTAAACATAAAGCTTCTATTTATTATTATTCTTCTAAGTTATTTTTTGTATTTATTTGGTGTTTATTTGTTTATTATATTATTTAATTCTTAGTTTATTTATTAAATTATTGTTTCTTTAGTTTTTGGATTTTATTTGAGTTCGTTTCCCGTCAATTCAGGATTATTATCAACTATTTCCTTACATCCTCCTCATTTATTCCAGTTTCTCTTAATTTTCTGTCTCATCTATCATCTCCTGTTTCACCTCTTGTCTAATTCCTCCTCGTGGGTGTTGATAAAGGGAGGGGGAGGAGAGCGGGAGGAGAGGGGAACAGGAGGAGAGGGTGCGTGAGGTGTGGAGGGGAACTCGCTTTGTGTTGTCAAGTATCTCTCATGAACTCTTGGTAACAGAGAAGGTGATAACTTGAGCAGGTTCAGGTGGACAGGTGTGTTGTGTGGCCCAGGTTATTAGCTCTAGTTTATGACATAAGCACACGGACGATACCACAGACATGACAAGCTCGTAATGCATGGAGACACGTGTGCATTTTTTAGTCACACTCATGTACGCAAAATATACGCATACACAAATTTACTTACATACATACATACAGGACACCCCCGCTGCCACCATTTTATTACCTGTGTTTATTATGGCGGGTCACAGTGACTATTGATCCGTTAAGTCAACCACTAGCCTTGTCCCTCCTAGGTAGTGACCGACACACACACACACACCAGTCATACACACACACACACCAGTCATACACAGTTAAATATAAGTAATCAGTACAAACAGTAAGTCTAAACTCACCTCCCACCCCCCCAAAAAAAAAATAATAATATTGTTTTACATCAGATAATATTCTTGTTGAGGTAATTAAATAAATGTACTAAGTCTATAAAGTACATTAATTACCATACATGTACTTTAAGTTAGGTGTAGCAGTGTACAGTACACCATATGGAGCCCGCGAGGGTTTATTAGACAATTGTGAGTTATTTAAGATTCTTTGTAAGAGTGAAATTAATGACAAAATGAAATAACTTAATACAACTATCGTGTACAGGACGTGTGTGTTGACCCCAGACCGGGCCCAGAGAGAGAGAGAGCCATCCTTCTCACTGGACCCAATACACACGTACTGTTCAAGAGTAAATGTCAAAACTATACAGGTGGTAACAGACGTGTAAAACTATAGATAACTGTACTGTATATATGAGATTTGTTTGGTTCTTGAATGTGGCCCAGAAGTACAAAAGGTTGGGGACCACTGACCTAATCTGTGTCTTCAATAAATATAAAATTACTCTACGTGGGATAAATTCACAAATACTTACAATACAACGAAGAAACATGAACATCAACATACCAACTACATTATATCACTGTCATGGTTAGGTTAGGTTAGGTTAGGTTAGGTTAGGTTAGGTGAAAGAACTAAGGACTTTTACCCTACTATGGCCTCTGTCGATTCGTGGAAACAAGGATTGATGTATTGGTGTAGAGTGCGTGTAAGTGCGAGCAGGTGCGTGGTTCACATAACACCTGTATAGTACACCTGGGCGACTGATTATGTTAAGGATTTGTATGAGTGGGGGATTTGTTTAAAGTCTCAGGTTGATTAATATCCAAGAGAGGGATTTTAAGATGTGGGGATTTTTCTTTGTGGGAGGATTACTTGATTATATTGCCCACCAAAGCTTTTTTCACCTGATGATTAAATACTCTTGAACTACCTGGCTGGGTTAGGTTAGGTTATATTAGATTAAGTTATATTTGGTTATTTTAAGTTAGGTTTGTTTAGGATAGGTCAACATTAGGAGGGATTAATCTTAAGGTGAAATAAGCTTAGGAGGACGAATATTCAGGGTTTTCTTTTTTGGGGTGAGAGATGTGTCCAGGATCAGCCGCCGTGCTTACCTGTCCCGTGGCGGCTGTTAATGAGACCTTTAGTGTTGTTGTCACATGCATGTGTTGGGACCATCATCAAGAGTAGTGTTTTTATTTATGCCCGCAACACTATGGTAACCTCGGTGTGGCATGGTGGAGTGTAGGCTATATTTACTCACACCATGACAGTTACCATAGTGTTACAATGGTGCCATAAACATTGTTACCTGTACCCCGTCACCATGGCAACTAGTCATGTACTCTGTTAATATTTTTATGCCCACTATGGCACTATGGCAGGTGTCCCCTCTACCAAGCCGCCATAGTGTTACTTTGTGTCTACCAAGCTCCTCCGTGACCCGGCACCCGTGTCTTGTGGGAGGAGCAGTGCAGATGGGCGTGGTCATGTGAGCGGGTATCACCCGTGGGCGTGGTCACGGTGGTCCTGTGGTGCAGTGCTGATGGTGGGCGTGATTTATGCCGTGGGCAGGACCTCTGGTGGGCGTTACTATGCTGTGGGAGGGGCCTTGGGTGGGCGTGACTATTCTTTGGAGGGGAGCTTCGGCTGGGCGTGACTGCTGTGGGAGGGGCCTCGGGTGGGCGTGATTGCTGTGGGCGTGCTGGAGACACACTCGGGGGCTGAAGAAACTACATTACTCAAGAGAGACAAAAAATAATTAATTATAGTCATATCTGCAACTGGTGAGATCAGTGCATGGTAAAAGTGCATTGTTTTGTCCCAGATCAGAGGTGACTGAGGTGCTGTGGAGGCGTGACGTGACTGTGGTAGACAGGTGGGCGGCGAAACACTCAACACCATGACTGCAAGTGTGTGACTCACGGCGTTGCTGTGGCAGGTAAAGCTGGGCAGTGTGCGGCGGTGGGTCGCAGTGGCCGCGTGTTCACGGACGCGGTTATCGCTTGTTACTGACACGTCTTCTCGCCTCCGGTGCCGGGACCCTTTACCTCGTACGTCCGCCACCGCCATCACCCGCTGCCACGCCTCTCATGCAAGTCTTCACACACGTCTAAAGTGACATACAAGACCTCAACTACCTAATATATCTTATCTCTATAACCCTTAAGTGAAGAATTAACCACTGAGAAACCCTAATCACTCATAAGATTGGTAATTTCAGCAGTAAGGTAATAACCAGCGAGTATAACGAAGGAATATATAGATTATAATGAAAAGGTGATGAAAGAAAATGTAAGTTGTCAAGATGGTAGACTTAACTATTCACACACACACACACACACACACACACACACACACACACACACACACACACACTAGTTAAATTGGTGTCATCGATTCACTGTAAATAGCACAACAACCCTTTAAGTACACCTAAAAATACACATATAAACAAACAGGATTTAGCAATAGTTGTAGTAGCAGCAATAGTTGTAGTAGCAGCAATAGTTGTAGTAGCAGCAATAGTTGTAGTAGCAGCAATAGTTGTAGTAGCAGCAATAGTTGTAGTAGCAGCAATAGTTGTAGTAGCAGCAATAGTTGTAGTAGCAGCAATAGTTGTAGTAGCAGCAATAGTTGTAGTAGCAGCAATAGTTGTAGTAGCAGCAATAGTTGTAGTAGCAGCAATAGTTGTAGTAGCAGCAATAGTTGTAGTAGCAATAGTTGTAGTAGCAGCAATAGTTAGTTAGTAGTAGCAGCAATAGTTGTAGTAGCAGCAATAGTTGTAGTAACAGCAATAGTTGTAGTAGCAGCAATAGTTGTAGTAGCAGCAATAGTTGTAGTAGCAGCAATAGTTGTAGTAGCAGCAATAGTTGTAGTAGCAGCAATAGTTGTAATTCTCACATAACTTACAACCAACAACAACAACCATTTATAAGCCAACCAGACATACACTCAGATGATGACTGATACTACCAAGTGTTAGGAGAATTTGGGTCTAATGTTTACACTGATATACATTTTACACGTAATAGAAAGAGTGAAGATTAATGGCACAAGTGTTCTTAGAAGTTGGTTAAGGATCGATAAGTTTATTGAAAGGTAGAAGGTTAATGATTGTGCCCCCCTCCCACCTATACCACCCCTACCAGCTACCCCTTCCATCCCCCACACCTTCTTCCACCTCATTCCCTCCTACCTCCCCACCTCCACACCATCACTCCTCCTTCCTCCTCCCACACCTTTCCCCACAATCTACCCTTTCCCCTCTTTCCCCTTCCCTCTCCACCCCTCCCCTCCTCCCCCTCCCCTCCCCTCCCTCCCCCTCTCCCACCCTCCTCCCCTCCCTCTCCTCCATGCGGCAACAGACCAGTAAACGTGAGGCAAGGCTGTAAGGGCGGTTATGGCCAGACGTAATCCACAGTTTTCACGCAACACCGACCATCACACCTTACAACACAACCCACAACCGTTCCTAATAACGCTCTTGATGACTTGTTACACGTCAGGTTTTGGGGGAGAGAGAGAGAGAGTATGGAATCAATGAGAGACAAAGATGAGTTGTAAATGTGGAACAATTGTGAACATGAGAAACAGTAAGATAGAGAGAGACAGAAATATACTGAGATAGTAAGATAGTATTTTATTATTGTTATTATTATCATTGATCTTGCTACTATTATTATTTTTGTTATTATTGTTATTATTGTTGTTTTCATTATTATTATTATCACAGATGAAAAACCTGTAAGTGAACTATCAAAGGTGATCATGAAGGGAGTACTGCAACACTCATCACTGTCACAGGTAAGCTGACTCACGTAATTACCTAAATCACCTGTATTTTCACGGCTCAGGTGGCGGTAATGACGCTAATCTGTAAAGTGATCTCCCCCCTTATATAGTATGTGTGGTCATCATGTCAGCCATCAATCGTCTGGGCGTCATCAGTCAGTAAGCAACTCGTGTGAACAACATATCACTAATAATGGGTCAGTTTCACGTAATATTCCTCCTTAATAAAACAAATATTTCGTACTCGTCATTGTATTTTATTTACAACAATAATTTAATGTTGTTCTCACGGCGGCCACCAGAGGACCTTAAGTTATGGCAAGATAATACATTAAGTTACATCATGGAGGGCAGGACCGTCCGCCCCACTCTGGGACACTGCCAAGCTGACCTGTCGCAGCTTGGTGGGCGTGTAGAGTGGGCGGTGGCAGTCCTCGGGCTGTTGGGGCTTAGGCGTAGGGGGCAGGTGGCCCGTAGGGGGCTGGTGCGGGGGCGGGGTAGGAGGCCTCCCCCTCGTAGGCGACTTCAGCGACGTAGCCGTTGGTGTGGTCGGCGTTGAAGGTGACGATCTGGGTGCGGCCGTCGGGCAGGAGCACCCTGTAGGAGCCGGAGGTCACGGTGCCGTCGCTGTTCTCGTCGTGGGCGAAGTCGTTGCCGGTGTAGTCGTCTTTGACGGCGTAGGCAAAGTCGTAGGGCATACCTGGCTCCTTGTAGGTATGGGTAGGAGGAGGCCCGTAGGACTGGGGGGTGTCGGGGCGGGGGACGGCGCAGGCCACAGCCACTAGGGCGGCCACCACGAAGACCTGAGCCACAAGAGATGGTTAGTGGTGTGTTATAGTGAGGAGGGTACAGTACAGGTGAGTGGTCTGTACAGGAAGAATAAAGAGCACTGTAGGTGAGATAAAGGAGAGAGGTGCCACCAGGGGGAGACGCTGGGGCCATAACACGAGACACTGAAAACCTTAGCTGTTGTCATCTGGTGAGGCTAACGCATCTTACCTGTGACGAGAGCAGTTATAGTTTACAGTAGATCTTAGTAGGTAGTTAAGATAAAGTTAAGTAGACGTTGTCGCAGAATTAAACCAATAATAAGGTAGAGTTCATAATGTATCTCAGGAGTCGACTTTAGGTCAGATAAAGTGAAAATAAAAGCTCTTGTTTAGTTACTGTTTAAATAGATTGTATGCTGGGGTGTGAGGAAGGACCAAGTGTGTAGTACTCACCTTGGCAGACATCATGTTGCTTGTTGTGTTGCTGACTGAGTTGTGATGCCGGACTGCACCAGGCGCCGCTACTTATACTACCAGCCCACCACCCCCACCCCCTTAGTAACGTCATCAACACCAAACGACAACACCCACCCTCAAATAAACACGAGAGACACACAAACAAGCACTAAATTTAGAAAGTTTGTTAATAAGCGTAAACTAAAAATCTGTTAATTGCTACTGAAGATATTTTTAGTGCTAATTTATTACAGTGAGACCTCTTTTTAACGGACTGTATAGAGATGAAAGTTCGTTATATCGAGGGTCCGTTATATGTGAAAACCTCCAGCTAACGAACTATATAGAGATGATAGTCCGTTATATAGAGGGTCCGCTATATGTGAAAACCTCCATCTAACGAACTATATAGAGATGAAAGTCCGGTATATCGAGGGTTCATTATATGTGAAATTTATCATTTAACGGATCATATGTAGAAAGAAGTCCGTTATATGGAGCTTGATTAGGTTAGGTTAGGTTAGGTTAGGTTAGGTTAGGTTAAATGGAACTTGTTGGAGATTCATAGTTGTTATTATCTTGTTATGGGAGTCTGTCTGTCTGTCTGTCTGTCTATATATCTCTTTGATGACTATCTGTCTTTCTTTCTGGTGTGTGTGTGTGTGTGTGTGTGTGTGTGTGTGTGTGTGTGTGTGTGTGTGTGTGTGTGTGTGTGTGTGTGTGTGTGTGTGTGTGTGTGTGTGTGTGTGTGTGTGTGTGTCTCTGTGTGTGTGTCTGTGTGTGTGTGTCTGTGTGTGTGTGTGTGTGTGTGTGTGTGTGTGTGTGTGTGTGTGTGTGTGTCTGTGTGTGTGTGTGTGTGTGTGTGTGTGTGTGTGTGTGTGTGTGTGTGTGTGTCTGTGTGTGTGTCTGTGTGTGTGTGTGTGTGTGTGTGTGTGTGTGTGTGTGTGTGTGTGTGTGTGTGTGTCTATCTGTGTGAACTAGTTGTCATAACTCATAAAACTCCTACTTATAGTTACTCGTAATAAAACACGTCTTTACAACCACTAACACCACAAATACAACTTTTTCTAATACATTCATTAATATCTAAACTATTTTCTCCCCAATTTAAGAGTAACCAAATCTAGCATTGAGAAACTATAAACAATTAAAGGCGAAAAGCAAAACAAAAAAGCATTGGGTCACTCTGTTCAGGGGCGTGTTTCTCGAAGCGGCCTCAGAGGGTCTTGGTGGGGATGTTGCAGCGACTACTGGCCTAAATCTTTTTCCTTGATAAACAAAACATGGTAACTGAGGAATAAAAACTGGGTAGATCAAGACTATAAAGCTAAAACGAGTCAACCAATTATTATTATTAGAATAACTTTAGTAAATAGGTTATGACTGGATGGTGACACAAAGCGGCCCTGTAGTTTTTTTATTGGGGTAGTTTAATTGAGGTCGTTATATCTTTGTTTTGACCTGTGACCTTGTTTTAGATAGACAGACAGGCCGCACCTCGATTATGCGGTTCAGTTCTGGTGCCCCTATTATAGAATGGATATAAATTCACTAGAGTCGGTGCAGCGAAGAATGACAAAAATGATTCCGGGACTTAGAAACCTTCCATATCAGGATAGGTTAAAGAAACTTAACTTGCATTCCCTAGAAAGACGAAGAGTGCGGGGAGATATGATAGAAGTATTTAAGTGGGTGAAAGGAATCAATAAAGGGGATATAGATAAAGTTCTTATAATATCCGAGCAGGATAGGACTCGGAGCAACGGATTCAAGTTGGATAAGTTTAGGTTTAGGAGGGAGATAGGAAGAAACTGGTTCACAAATAGGGTGGTGGACGAGTGGAACAAGCTTAGCAACTTTGTAGTAAGTGCGGGAACTCTGGAAAGTTTCAAAAGGAAGCTAGATAGATTCATGGATGATAGAGAGTGGGAGTAACTCTCGACAGGAGCTGCCATGCACAGGCCAACCGGCCTATTGCAGACTCCTTATTTTCTTATGTTCTTATGTTCTTATAGATAGATAGATATTTGTACAGTAAAATCACTATACAAGTTCACGTTTTCATTATGTATAGACGGTGCAGGTAAGTCGATGCTAATTAAGATGACCCAAGACAGGTGTTAAGACTTTATTTTAACTTGGTGGTTGTGTGTGTTGAGGTGACGGATCACATGAAGATTAGCCCATCTCTAGCTTATTTCATCACGATGCTAACCTAACCAAACCAAATTTAACCACACTAACCTAACCTAACCCAGTACAGTGTTATATTTTGTTAACGAGGTCTTTTAAGGTAATTTGGGGTCATGTAAATTTATGTAAGGTTAAATAGAGGTATGTTAGGTTAAATGAGGTTATGTAACGTCAGATAAGGTCAGGCTAGGTCAAATAAGGTCAGAAAACGAAAGACACTAAAGGGTTGTCCCATAAAGGTGTGTTTGGCATCATATTAAAGCTCTTGGTGAGGTGATTCATTTTCACTTCATTAACTCGAGTGTTGAGCCTGACCGTGTGGCTACAGAGGTCATGTTGGGTCATAGGTCATTATCTGAAAACAGTGTCAGGGTTGTAGCGTATGTTGTGTAGGTGACCCAGCCTGGTGTACAGAGGTCAAAATGGGTAATAATATAGCACAGGTCATCCATATTTAAGGTAGTTTCTTCCGCTTATCAGTTTTGAAATCATATGACCTTACATGTCTGTAGGTCACAAGGTCGACCCTAGAGCTTCAGTTATAAAGGTGAAAGTCATTTGTCTCGTCAGTAACACCTTCCTATGACCAGACCTTCTGATGTTCATATTTATGACGTCATACCCCCCCCTGTTGTCTCTTGATACACAAACACTGTGAGCTGTTGAGTGGGAAACTTTTTACGTAAGTTACATCAGGTCATCAGCTGTACGGGATGGTTGAGAGGAAGGGTCAGGTGTTTAATTTGACGCTCACCAAGCAGGTGAATATGTGTGTCACTTATGTGGGATGGTCTATATAGGGAGTATTGACTTAGTACCTCCGGGACATACCCAGGTATCTATTTCAATCAGTAAAATTCTTATATATTTATCGTAAATGTCTTTATTTACAGGGATAATTTACAACCACTGTAAGTCTTTGTGGCGGCCGCCAGAAGACCTTAAGTTATGGCAAGATAATACATTAAGTTACATCATGGAGGGCAGGACCGTCCGCCCCACTCTGGGACACTGCCAAGCTGACCTGTCGCAGCTTGGTGGGCGTGTAGAGTGGGCGGTGGCAGTCCTCGGGCTGTTGGGGCTTAGGCGTAGGGGGCGGGTGGCCCGTAGGGGGCTGGTGCGGGGGCGGGATAGGAGGCCTCTCCCTCGTAGGCGACTTCAGCGACGTAGCCGTTGGTGTGGTCGGCGTTGAAGGTGACGATCTGGGTGCGGCCGTCGGGCAGGAGCACCCTGTAGGAGCCGGAGGTCACGGTGCCGTCGCTGTTCTCGTCGTGGGCGAAGTCGTTGCCGGTGTAGTCGTCCTTGACGGCGTAGGCAAAGTCGTAGGGCATACCTGGCTCCTTGTAGGTATGGGTAGGAGGAGGCCCGTAGGACTGGGGGGTGTCGGGGCGGGGGGCGGCGCAGGCCACAGCCACTAGGGCGGCCACCACGAAGACCTGAACCACAAGAGATGGTTAGTGGTGTGTTATAGTGAGGGGGTGTACATAATGGTGTACACAAGGGGCTAAGTTTAGATGATGACACAAGTTAGTTCTTAATACCAGTAACTTCCAAGAGCAGTATAGTGTGAGATGAAGACAAGAGCAGTATAGTGTGAGGTGAAGACAAGAGCAGTATAGTGTGAGGTGACGACAAGAGCAGTATAGTGTGAGGTGAAGACAAGAGCAGTATAGTGTGAGGTGAAGACAAGAGCAGTATAGTGTGAGGTGAAGACAAGAACTGTATAGTGTGAGGTGAAGACAAGAGCAGTATAAGACAAGAGCAGTATAGTGTGAGGTGAAGACAAGAGCAGTATAGTGTGAGGTGAAGACAAGAGCAGTATAGTGTGAGGTGAAGACAAGAGCAGTATAGTGTGAGGTGAAGACAAGAGCAGTATAGTGTGAGGTGAAGACAAGAGCAGCATAGTGTGAGGTGAAGACAAGAGCAGTATAGTGTGAGGTGAAGACAAGAACTGTATAGTGTGAGGTGAAGACAAGAGCAGTATAGTGTGAGGTGAAGACAAGAACTGTATAGTGTGAGATGAAGACAAGAGCAGTATAGTTTATGGTGAGGACAAGAGCAGTATAGTGTGAGGTGGACAAGGGTGCAGCAGGTGAGGAAGGACCAAGTGTGTAGTACTCACCTTGGCAGACATCATGTTGCTTGTTGTGTTGCTGACTGAGTTGTGATGCCGGACTGCACCAGGCGCCGCTACTTATACTACCAGCCCACCCTTCCCCCCTTAGTGACGTCATCAGTACTGTAGTAGCTCTGACTTGCAACAAAATAAACAGAGAGAGAAGGTGGTCGTTCTCTCCTCATGTTGCCACCTTGATCTCTAAACCTTAGTAGCATGGCAGCGGGTGTAGTGGTGGCGGTGGTTAATCTGTTATGTCACGTCGGTATAATGTATGTCTTTCCCTGACCTTCTTCGGTGATTCTTTGGTCTTATGAGTATACCATCTTCAGGGGTCCTTGTGTGTGTGTGTGTGTGTGTGTGTGTGTGTGTGTGTGTGTGTGTGTGTGTGTGTGTGTGTGTGTGTGTGTGTGTGGATATTAAACCTAACCTAACCTATAAAATACGTTGAGCCCCAATGGTTTTTCGTAGATGTCAAAGTTGTTGGCTCATATATCGCTAGAGCGGTGTGTTCGAGGGCGAGGTACATCAAGGGCGAGGTACGTCAAGGGCGGGGTACATCAAGGGTGAGGTACATCACGGGCGGTACGTCAAGGGCAGGATCATCAAGGCCGGGGTACATAAAGGGCAGGCATCGGGCCGGGGTACATCAAGGGCGGGGTACATCAAGGGCGGGTACATCAAGGGCGGGTACGTCAAGGGCGGAGTACATCAAGGGCGGGGTACATCAGGGCGGGTACATCAAGGGCGGGGTACGTCAGGGCGGGGTACATAAAGGGCGGGGTAAGTCAAGGGCGAGGTACGTCAAGGGCGAGGTACGTCAAAGGCAAGGTACGTCAAGGGCGGGGTACATCAAGGGCGGGGTACTTCAAGGGTGAGATACTTCAAGGGCGAGGTACAGCACCAGCCGACTCACCTGAAGACGCGCAGCAGTTCATTAAGGCAGGTAAACCACAGAACGTGAGGCGCCTTGGTCCATTATATCTTAACCTACGTGTCGGGAGCCTGGAGGAGGGCGTGTGCTGCAGGTGACACGCCAAGGTGATGGTGGCTTTCACCTACTGTCTACATGCGCGTTTATACATACATACTGTACTTACATACATACATACATGCATACATATTGTAACCGCCTCAGTTAAGGACGGTCGGGTGACGAGCAAGTCTAAGAGAAAGATTGAAACCCGCCTTTTGACGCATTCAATATTTATTGATACCTGCAAAGAACAAGGCGTTCATTAGTATTACATGGTGATCCATCTGATACATAATTTGTTAGTCTCACACAATTTTATCTCAGCTACATAAGATCATTTAACATAGTGACATAATATAAAGTTCATAACTATATTGATCTTAGTTGCGCTTCATTCCACATTGTCTTATTGCTCTAGATAAGGTAGAAAACTAGTCGGCATAATTAGTCCTCAATATTTCAGTACTGAGGGGTACATCATCACGCAGGCTGTACTTACAAGTGCGGGTCGATGTAAATCAGTATGGTGTTCCAAGAGACAACAGTACTGCGTAAATTGTCTAAGCATAAAACTCAGGGACAGGATTGAGAGTTGCTCACAGTATGGCTGTAGAAGGTGAACTGCGCGTCAGAGAGGCCAGACAGTCACGACACCTGCCGAACTGTCTATTCAGCAGGAACCAGGACCGCTTGGCTGTAAACATCCCTCAGCTCTCCCCTCTCCTACATCAGGTCACGATGTACTGGGTCGTAGGCTGAGGGATTTATATTTGTTTGGGTAAGGTGACACTCGTAGACGGCACATAGGCTGAGCCGCTGGGAGGCAGGCAGCAAATGCCAGCACTGTGTAGCTGAAGCCAGCGGCGATAACACATACATACATACATACATACATACATACATACATACATACATACATACATAAAAGCTTCCGTTTCTTCCTCGTCTTTTTCTTAATTTATGAAGATGCTTTCCACACACACACACACACACACACACACACACACACACCAGTCTTCAGATAACAGTATAGTTCTCCAGAATCTGTTTGACTCTTTCTTACATTCGGTGGGTGACAGTTGGTGGGTATTATTGGGTGTTGTGTAATGTGGAAACTTTGCATGATGGTTAGGTTTTGTTAGGTTAGCTTACAAACTACACACTTTTAATGACTAGTAACAGATAAATATCATTATAAGGTTGGCCACAGTTCATGTCAGGTTGTGGAGGTGAGGGATGCGTATCTCTTATTGCCTTCTATGAGGCGGCTGTTACCAGTAAAATTCTTATGTATTTATCGTAAATGTCTTTATTTACAAGAATACTTTACAACCACTGTAAGTCTTTGTGGCGGCCGCCAGAAGACCTTAAGTTATGGCAAGATAATACATTAAGTTACATCATGGAGGGCAGGACCGTCCGCCCCACTCTGGGACACTGCCAAGCTGACCTGTCGCAGCTTGGTGGGCGTGTAGAGTGGGCGGTGGCAGTCCTCGGGCTGTTGGGGCTTAGGCATAGGGGGCAGGTGGCCCGTAGGGGGCTGGTGCGGGGGCGGGGTAGGAGGCCTCCCCCTCGTAGGCGACTTCAGCGACGTAGCCGTTGGTGTGGTCGGCGTTGAAGGTGACGATCTGGGTGCGGCCGTCGGGCAGGAGCACCCTGTAGGAGCCGGAGGTCACGGTGCCGTCGCTGTTCTCGTCGTGGGCGAAGTCGTTGCCGGTGTAGTCGTCCTTGACGGCGTAGGCAAAGTCGTAGGGCATACCTGGCTCCTTGTAGGTATGGGTAGGAGGAGGCCCGTAGGACTGGGGGGTGTCGGGGCGGGGGACGGCGCAGGCCACAGCCACTAGGGCGGCCACCACGAAGACCTGAGCCACAAGAGATGGTTAGTGGTGTGTTATAGTGAGGGGGTGTACATAATGGTGTACCTAATGGTGTACATAATGGTGTACATAGTGCTGTACACAAGGGGCTAAGTTTAGATGATGACACAAGTTAGTTCTTAATACCAGTAACCTCCAAGAGCAGTATAGTGTGAGATGAAGACAAGAGCAGTATAGTGTGAGGTGAAGACAAGAGCAGTATAGTTTATGGTGAGGACAAGAGCAGTATAGTGTGAGGTGAAGACAAGAGCAGTATAGTTTATGGTGAGGACAAGAGCAGTATAGTGTGAGGTGGACAAGGGTGCAGCAGGTGAGGAAGGACCAAGTGTGTAGTACTCACCTTGGCAGACATCATGTTGCTTGTTGTGTTGCTGACTGAGTTGTGATGCCGGACTGCACCAGGCGCCGCTACTTATACTACCAGCCCACCACCCCCCACCCCCTTAGTGACGTCATCAACACCAAACGACAACACTCACCTCCTTCAACATAAACACACAAAAAATGAATGTGTGTTTATGTATTAGTTTGTCTCTAGCATCGTTCCTTAACTCAATGTTTTGTATTAGTGTTAGTTAGTTAGTGTTGTTGTTATTATTAAAGGTCAAAGGCATAACCATTGGCTGTAAGAACAACTCTGGATCTGACCTTTTATAATTTAGTTTGACCTTCACAAGTCTTTAACAAGTTGACCTGTTTTAGTTTATTCTTATTCAGGGTCACTATAGGTGTGTCTTGTGAGAGCCTGATGATGATGATAATTGATGATAATGATACTAATAATGATGACGTGTAATTACGTGGTTTGTGTTAATTAATCGACCCCATCATTAGTGCTGTTGCTATAAGACTTGAGAGATTATTTACCATCTACTTATCATAGAAGACTAACACACACACACAGACTAGAAGGAACCACTGTGATACCGTTGTTCTTCTCTCTATCATAAACTGTTCTGGTAACTTATCTAAATCAGTTTGTGTTGTTGTTTGAGATTGATAAGTTAAGCCTCGCAGAGGTGTCAAACCCATGGCCCGCGGGCAAAATGTGGCCCTTGGGATGGCCAGGTGTGGCCCGTGGGATGACAGTAAAATTTATCAGGTCGTGTAATTATGATAGAAATAGATATGGAGGAAAAATGCAGATATGAATGAGTCGGTAAATTCCGAAATGATCTTTACATCATTGTGGCAATAATTGACTTTACTGTATATTGTTAATGCTAGTAATAACACTCCTGTAAAGGGGAAATGATTATAAATAATGCACACACACACACACACACATATATATATATATATATATATATATATATATATATATATATATATATATATATATATATATATATATATATATATATATATATATATATATATATATATATATATATATATATATATGCCTTTTGCTATCCTATTATTAGTGTTAATCATGTTTATTAAGTAAAGTGAATTTTACATACTTAAGATCAGACAAACCCAATTGAGGTATTCCTGGTAAGCCAGGTAAGGCAATGTGTGAAGCTGTAAACTTCAATCCTGCAAATATGTGATATAGCACTTGTGTTGGCCCTGAAGAGGGTAACTAAAATAAGAATTGGCCCTCGAAAGGTTTTGAGTTTGACACCACTGACTGTTAAGGTTTACAGGAGGCACTGTAAGGGACTGTGGCCCGATGTAAAGGTGTGAGAGTGAGTGGTACCTGTCTTAATTTACCTGGGTATTGAACCAAGGAGAAGGAGGAGGGCGGTGATGGGGAGGGGGTGTTGGGGGTGCTGGGTAGACGGTATTATGGTGCTGGGTACTGCGCCATCATCTCAGCTCCTGCGTTAATAATGCTCCTACACCACCACAATAGTGTCATGGATGTAAACAATAATCATCATCATTGTATCTAGATCATTTAATATAGACAGATCTGACGGCATCATTCTTACCTGTCCTGTGTTTTAATTAACCTCATAACTCAAGTGAGAAAAAGTCAAAATATCTGGTTATTGTTTTTGTTGTTCTTGTTTTGTTGTTCTTGTTAATGTTGCTGTTGTTGTTATTTGTATTACTGAAGTCAATGATATCTGAGGAATGTTTACTTCACCTTCAGATAATTTAAGCCTCAGACACACGATCCTGAGACAGTGTTCATAGAGGGTTGAGGTGGAGGGTGTGATACCTGTAGGTGATTAAGGATTATTACCTGTGCTCTGTTGTTTGTCTCTGTGGTTGATGGTGATATGTACACCTGTGGTTTTAGTGCTTCGTATTAGATGTTGTTTGTGTGTGTGTGTGTGTGTGTGTGTGTGTGTGTGTGTGTGTGTGTGTGTGTGGCCACTTAGAATACCTATAGTCAGCCCTGTAAACACAAATACCTTTTCTACAAACTTTAATTGAGAAACATTTGATATGTCCCATTTAGCTAATAACGTCACCAGTCATTAGCGGGGAGGTGGCTGACTTGAACGTCTTTAAACACTGACTTGCTGATGCTCGTTCACCTGTCAGCATGTGAAGATTAGACACCTCAGCTTATTTCACCGTGATGATTAAACACCCTAATGCTAACCTAACCTAACATATTTGAACTTAACCTAACATTAACTTAATCTAATTTAACCTAACCTAACCTATCTTAACCTAACTTAACATAACATTAACCTAACTTAACATAACATTAACCTAACCCACCAGGTAGAGCTGATTGATCAGGTGTTAGCAAATGAAGGGGGTGGTTAATCTTCAGGTGCTCCGAGCAAGTACCAACAAGTGACGCCACACGATGGTCTGGTTGTATTGACACAGTAAGGTCGGCGTCAACAAGGTCGTAAAACACATCCACTTAAGGTCAAATATAAACTGGTGAAAAACTAAGATTTGACTAGTTCTGTGATGACGTCATTACCGAGAAACAGAAAGGGAGGGGGTGGTGTTGTATTTATATAAAATTGTTAAGATTGTATTTTGTAGTTCCTAGCTTGACTCGTCTATGATAACTATAGTAAAGTGTTCTTGGAGCCATGAGTGACGTCACCAGGTGTAGACAGGTGGCGCTGCTCACTGTGAGGAAGGTATTACCAGTAAATTACTTGTTTTGTGATCGTAAATGTCTTTATTTACAAAAATAATTTACAACCACTGTAAGTCCTTGTGGCGGCCGCCAGAGGACCTTAAGTTATGGCAAGATAATACATTAAGTTACATCATGGAGGGCAGGACCGTCCGCCCCACTCTGGGACACTGCCAAGCTGACCTGTCGCAGCTTGGTGGGCGTGTGGAGTGGGCGGTGGCAGTCCTCGGGCTGTTGGGGCTTAGGCGTAGGGGGCAGGTGGCCCGTAGGGGGCTGGTGCGGGGGCGGGGTAGGAAGCCTCTCCCTCGTAGGCGACTTCAGCGACGTAGCCGTTGGTGTGGTCGGCGTTGAAAGTGACGATCTGGTTGCGGCCGTCGGGCAGGAGCACCCTGTAGGAGCCGGAGGTCAATGAACCGTCACTTTTCTCGTCGTGGGCGAAGTCGTTGCCGGTGTAGTCGTCCTTGACGGCGTAGGCGAAGTCGTAGGGCATACCTGGCTCCTTGTAGGTATGGGTAGGAGGAGGCCCGTAGGACTGGGGGGTGTCGGGGCGGGGGGCGGCGCAGGCCACAGCCACTAGGGCGGCCACCACGAAGACCTGAACCACATGAGCCGGTTAGTGAGGTTTACTGTACACAGTCTCAGTACAGCACAGGGGATGGGAGTCATAAGAACAAAATGTAACAAGTCTCAGGTCTGACTAGTCAAGAGTATAACACTATGTTGTTGTGGACCTTGAGGACAGAGAGGTGTTGGTCCTGTGACATAGAAGGGGAACTAAGGGCATTTGTGGTGTGTTACCGAGTGTTTTATGCTGTGTTACTAAATCACGTGGAGGAGGTAACTGATAAACCTGTAAGTCGGCAGGAGTGTGTGTGGGGGGGGGGGGGGGGGGGATAGGTCAACAAAAACCAGAAGGAGTACATGTGAGGTAAAATACACGTGAATGTGTACGAGTATATGAGGCGACATATGTTCAGTGCACGTGTGGGGTGTTCAGTGCACGTGTGGGGTGTTCAGTGCACGTGTGGGGAGTCCAGTGTACGTGTGGGATGATCAGTGCACGTTTGCGGTGGTCATCTCCCATGTTTGATATTCAGTTCACATGTAACCAGTGAGGAGGACCAAGTGTGTAGTACTCACCTTGGCAGACATCATGTTGCTTGTTGTGTTGCTGACTGAGTTGTGATGCCGGACTGCACCAGGCGCCGCTACTTATACTGCCGCCCACCACCCCCACCCCCTTAGTAACGTCATCTACATAATAACAACTCTTATCTACATAAACACAACTATTTACCTGAAGTGAAATCAAAGAAAGTTTTGTTTTGTCACCAGATGTCTGTTTTGTGTTTTGTTACTCCTATATTTTCTGTACAAACTGGGGATCACCTGATGATTAGTCCCCTACCTGAGCTTATTTTACCTGGAGATAAGCCAACCTAACGCCATCCTAACCTAATCTATCCTAAAATATTCTAACGTAACCCAGCTTAATTTAATCTAACATAATCTAACCTAACCTAATTTAACCTAACCTTGCCTAACCTAACCCTCACGGGCAGCATCAGGGTGGTTAATCTTCAGGTGAAATAAGCTGGGGTGTCTAATCTACAGGTGACTCGTGACAGCTGCAGGTGTGTGAGGAGCCGAGGGGAGTGTGGCCATGCTCTAGGTGACAGACAAAATCAAGGTTTCACTGACTTTCATGTTTACACTGTGGGAACATTATGATCATCTGGCGATTAGTCCCACCCCAGCTTATTTCACCTAAAGATTAGTCCCACCCCAGCTTATATCATCTGGAGATTAGTCCCACCCCAGCTTATTTCACCTCAAGATTAGTCCCACCTCAGCTTATTTCACCTAAAAATTAGTCCCACCCCAGCTTATTTCACCTAAAAATTAGTCCTACCCCAGCTTATTTCACCTCAAGATTGGTCCCACCCCAGCTTATTTCACCTCAAGATTAGTCCCACCCCAGCTTATATCATCTGGAGATTAGTCCCACCCCAGCTTATTTCACCTCAAGATTAGTCCCACCCCAGCTTATATCATCTGGAGATTAGTCCCACCCAGCTTATATCATCTCAAGATTAGTCCCACCCCAGCTTATATCATCTGGAGATTAGTCCCACCCAGCTTATTTCACCTAAAGATTAGTCCCACCCCAGCTTATTTCACCTAAAGATTAGGCCCACCCAGCTTATTTCACCTCAAGATTAGTCCTACCCCAGCTTATTTCACCTAAAGATTAGTCCCACCCCAGCTTATTTCACCTAAAGATTAGGCCCACCCCAGCTTATTTCACCTCAAGGTTAGTCCCACCCCAGCTCATTTCACCTAAAGATTAGTCCCACCCAGCTTATTTCACCTCAAGATTAGTCCCACCCCAGCTTATTTCCTCAAGATTAGTCCCACCCCAGCTTATTTCACCTCAAGATTAGTCCCACCCCAGCTTATTTCACCTCAAGATTAGTCCCACCCAGCTTATTTCACCTGAAGATTAGTCCCACCCAGCTTATTTCACCTCAAGATTAGTCCCACCCAGCTTATTTCACCTCAGGATTAGTCCCACCCAGCTTATTTCACCTCAAGATTAGTCCCACCCCAGCTTATTTCACCTAAAGATTAGTCCCACCCCAGCTTATTTCACCTCAAGATTAGTCCCACCCCAGCTTATTTCACCTCAAGATTAGTCCCACCCCAGCTTATTTCACCTCAAGATTAGTCCCACCCCAGCTTATTTCACCTCAAGATTAGTCCCACCTCAGCTTATTTCACCTCAAGATTAGTCCCAACCCAGCTTATTTCACCTCAAGATTAGTCCCACCTCAGCTTATTTCACCTGGGGATTAGACACCGTAAAACTACCTTGGGGTTTAGTTTAAGTTAATAATATCAGGAACTTGTGGTTGTTTGAGTGAAGGTTATAGTTCGATGTTGTTGTTATAGTTGTTGTAGTTGTTGTTGTTGTTGTTAAGTTTGTTTACCAAGATGTTGTTCCTTTGTTAGTTATATAGTGAAGGTCTTTGAGGCAATGTTGGGTGATGTTGATGACTGTGTGATTGATGAGTCTCTTTTAGCTGTGGCATTGATGGCTGTGATTGACGAGTCTTTTAGCTGTGATTGATGATTGTGGTCTAGCCGTGTTGTTGAGGTTCTTGATATACTCAACAGCTTCATCATCACCGTCACTATTGGCTTCAAGGAGACTGTCCAGCTGGGAGGGTTCATGGAGTGTGTTATTGGCTATTCGATTAAGTTTCCTGCTGTGTGTCAGTGTATCCCGGGGGTAAACGTGTACAGTGTATATGTTTAACAGTGTGTGGTGTATCGAAGGCTTATTATACAGTGTATTACCGTCACACAGTACCTAGCGGGTCGCCAGGTCTGTAGGATTCACCCTACCGTGATCGGGGTCTTGGATGGAAATAAATTTTCGGACGGTGTAGTGTGGATGATGATCAGCCAGTCACAGGGTACGTGTTGGTGTGTGTTGTTACTGTTTGGTTTTGGTCATATTGTCATACACTAGCCTGTGTGACAACATATACAGTGATGTGTGGATTTCATTTAGTTTTAAGTTATGGGAGAAACAGTTTTCAGTAACAGCCATCGTAATCGTAAATGCCTTTATTTACAAAAAATAATTTACTACCATTCAAAGTCTTTGTGGCGGCCGCCAGAGGACCTTAAGTTATGGCAAGATAATGCATTAAGTTACATCATGGAGGGCAGGACCGTCCGCCCCACTCTGGGACACTGCCAAGCTGACCTGTCGCAACTTGGGATAAGCTGGGATAAGTCGAGTGCAGGCTGGGATATATCCAGCCGGCATACAAACAAGTGACGAGTGGAGATTACAAGAGTTGAGGAGAAGAGGTGGCACTAGTAGAGGGTGAGGGTGGAGGGCGTGGGGCGTGTAGAGTGGTCCTCGGGTTGTGTTGGGGCTTAGGCGTAGGGGGCGGGTGGCCCGTAGGGGGCTGGTGCGGGTGGCCCGTAGGAGGGGGGTGCGGGGGCGGGGTAGGAGGCCTCTCCCTCGTAGGCGACTTCAGCAACGTAGCCGTTGGTGTGGTCGGCGTTGAAGGTGACGATCTGGGTGCGGCCGTCGGGCAGGAGCACCCTGTAGGAGCCGGAGGTCACGGTGCCGTCGCTCTTCTCGTCGTGGGCGAAGTCGTTGCCTGTGTAGTCGTCCTTGACGGCGTAGGCGAAGTCGAAGGGCATACCTGGCTCCTTGTAGGTATGGGTAGGAGGAGGCCCGTAGGACTGGGGGGTGTCGGGGCGGGGGGCGGCGCAGGCCACAGCCACTAGGGCGGCCACCACGAAGACCTGAACCGCAAGTGAGTCGGTTAGTGAGGGGACGAGTGTACACAGAGAGGCGTGTAGTGTCTGGGTGTTGATCAGCGAGATAATAATTATAGTTTGTGTGAACAATGAGGAGAGTACATTACTCTTAGTGTACATTGAGTACATATGGAGTAAATTTGTAATCATATTTCGTGAAGACAGAGAGTAACACTTGAAGGTAAGCTACTAGAATGTAACAGTCCCGTTCATGGTGTGTTGCTGAGTGTAATAATAATAATACTTAGCATAATACAAATGAACACACTATAACTACACTTTCCCTTGAATAATATTTGTGATTAGGAGGAAATAAAAGTGAATTACATCAATGAGTGTGAGTGTACATAAAGTGTCTCCAGGGTAAGTGTACAGAACATGAACACGTTTAATGTACCATGGTCTGTACAGTACATGACATGAGTGTGATATAGGTGACGTGTGGAGGGGCCGTCTTCAACTGGAACAATATGAACGAAATTTATTAAACAAACATAAAACCTTGAACTTCTCGACTAAACTGACGGAATAATAAAAATAAGTGAGAAAAGATTAGAGTTTTAGTTGAATTAATTGATATTTTATGTATGAAGTAAAATATTAACATATGTGCTGTTAAAATCAATCTTTCATCTGTTAGTGTTGACATAGAGTGGGTGAGAGAGTGCGTAGAGTGGGTGAGAGAATGCGTAGAGCTGGTAAGAGTGTGCGTAGAGTGCGTAACTTAACTCTGGGGCACTAAGCTAGACAGTACTCACCTTGGCAGAGATCATGTTGTTGATGGTTGTGTCGCTGGCTGAGTTGTGATGCCGGGGTTACTTCGCGTCCCCCTTATATACTGTCGACTGCCTGCCTGCCCCTCAAGAGGTTTCGTCATCCACCTCGGGAAAACCTTGGCCCTCCCCCTCAACCCCCATCCTCACCCCCATCCTCACCCCTACCCCACCCCTACCCCATCCTTACACCTCTTCCCCGTACACTATAACAGTAAATCACATTCGTTAGTTTCCCATTTTATGATGTCACGTGATTGGGTGTGATTGTACGTGACATCATAGTGACATCACCATGACGTCACTGCTTGAGAGGAATGATGTCACGGCTCATACCATCGATAAGGGGGGGGGTGTAGAATCCGTGAAGGGGGTTGGTCAAGGAGGCAAATAGCGATGGTTGTGTTGTTAGGAGCAAGGGCGGCCGTGAGTCGTCAAGAGGTGGGTGGCGTAATCGGCCGGGAGTTACTTACGCCCACCACTAAAATTACGCCCACGCCCACGGCCACCATCTTCACCACGCCTCGCTGATTCTACAGACTAGCCAAGGACTCCGAGTATAATGCTTTCTGTAGTGATGATGATAATAATAATTATACAGAATAGTAACAATACAATGAGCAGTCTATTTTATATGTTGTTGCTTCGATATTCGTGGATAATTTGTTTTAGGAAGTGTCGTAAGCAGGTATGTTGTATACTGGGATCACAAACACACAAACACTATCACAAACACAACACCTAACATTATAATCTATCACACAAACACACATCATCATCATCATCAGTATAGTATGGACTCCGTGACAAGGCTAGGTTCCGCTCCAGTACACCCCACCCTCTCACACACACCACCGTACTCCCCCACACGAGGAACTTAGCCAATTATCTATCATTGTTTTGGTTTTTGATATTATGATTGTTTATAATAAGAAGAATTTATTTTATTTTATTTTATTTTTTTTTAGGATTTAATAAGAGTGATTTGTTGGTTTATTTTGTGTTTACAGTTGTTATTGATGGTTTTGTTGCTGTTTGCTTCCTTGCCTCAGCTGTGTTTGTTGACGTCATCTTTTAAAACTTTTACGTCGACTTTTAAGCTTTCACGTCATTTTTTTTAAAGCTTTCACATAATTTTTGTTAAAGCTTTCACATTATCTTTTAAAGCTTTCACGTTAGTTTGTTGTTATTTGTCTTCAGGAAACTTGGTGTTGACGGTGAAGGTCAGCTAAAGGTGTCTGTCAGTCACGGCCACACACACACACACACACACACACACACACACACAGAACAATGACTGGTGTTGTATAATGATTAATGTCTTGGTGTGTTTGAGGTGTTTTTGTGTTTTTTGTAATAGTAGTAGTAGTAGTAGTAGTAGTATCTTCCATCCACACACCCCACACATCCACATACTCCACCTATCCACCCACAATAGCATTCATACTCCTCACACACCCATGTACTCCATCCACCAACCCACAGTAGCTTCCACACTGCCCATCTACCCACTCTCAGAAGCATCCACACTACCCATCCATCCATCCATGCACAGTACCAACTACTCTTCACCGTTTGTGGGTGATCACTTACAGGCTGCCACTTTCACTCAAGAAACCAGAGCAGATGTGTGAGATGTTCCCTCCCTCCCTCCCTCCCTTAGTCAACACGGAACATTCATTATAACCACACCCCTCCCTCCTTCCCTCTCCCATTCCTTTCTTCCCACTCCTTTCCCTTCAATCGCTTCTTTTCAACCTCATTTTTTCTCTCGCCTTCCCCCTGTTCCCTCATTTTTTCTCTCGCCTTCCCCCTGTTCCTTCCTTCTTCCCCCCGTTTCTTCTTACTCTTCCATCATTCCCCACCCCTCCTCCTCCTCCTTACGCTCCTTCCTTTCCTCCTTCCTCCTCTGAAATCCTCAATATCGCACCTTCTCACTCCCAAATATCACCACAGGCACAAAATACTCAACCTACACCCTAACCTTACCCCCCAAACAAAAACAACAACAACAACACCAAAACAACAACAACAACACCAAACAACAACAACAACACCAAAAACAACAACAACAATTGAACAACAGCACACACATCTTCATGATCTTTCGTCAGTCATGTGTGAGGATGAGGTCAGCTGAATCACCCATCGCCTGACTCCGGGGGTCAAGAAGAGGTGGAGAGAGAGAGAGAGAGAGAGAGAGAGAGAGAGTGAAATAATTGACCAAAGAGCGACGGGACGAAAGGCTGTGAGGAGAGTGAGAGAGAGGTAGGTGGAGTAATTGACCTAATGGCGATAGCAGGTATAGTTGGGATCAGGTTAATAGTGTTATAAATTGACGCCAGACGGAGCAAGGTCACACAGTTAACCGGTTTAAATACATGACGAGTGAAGGTTGTGGTTTTTGGGGGAGGTCACCTGAAGAATCTGTACCCCAGTTTATTTCACCTAAAGATTAACCTAACCTAACCTCATCCTCCTGAAATAGCATTAGGATGTGGTTAATGATATACGAGTACAGTTTCATAGACAGTGATTGAGAAAGGTGAGATCTCTATACAGGTACACACAGGTACACACATAAGAACA